ACACGAATCTAGAAGATTCCAGAAAAATGTCTTCATGGGATTAACACATAATCAACATATTTTACAGAATGTTTATAATGAATGTCTACTTTTTGGAGAATTTTTGGTAGAAAAATGAAAATATAATACTTGAATGTTTTACTTGATACTCTTTTTCTTAGCATGTTTATCTTCCCCTTTTCTCTACTTTTCACTAGACACAAACATGGAAAATATCAAAAATACTCCTAATCTTATCACATGGGCAGGCATTTAAAGAAAGGAATTTTTCTTTTAATAAAGAAATTGAAAGCTGACAATTTAAAAGATTTATTATATATAAATAATGTAGAACGTATGTAAATAAATAAAATTTCAAGCGTACTGTATTCATGAAAACATTTACTGAATAATGAAAGAACAATGAAAACTAAAAGATGATGGCCAAGGCAATGCGTGATCACCAAGGCAACAGGCGATCTTTTTCTACTCTTGTGATATCGAGCAAGTTAATTTGCATTTGCATGTGGTTGCCATCTAATTTTTAAAATGTGGCCTAAACAATATGTCTCAGTGCATCATCAGTGCTGCAGCTAGGGTGGGACAAGGGGGTATATCTGTCCCCGGGCACAGCCCCCATCCATGGAGTGTCAAATAAATATTACAAAATTTTAGAATGAAATGTTTTTCATACAGAAGAAGGTGCAAAATCTTCAGTTGTCCCCGGGTGGTGAAAACCCTAGCTATGGCTCTGTACATCATACATGGGGCTGGGGCTACGCATTTTCTCAGCTGATGCAATCTCTGTGGATACTAAAGTCTGCTGCGTAATGCCTTCCAAAATTCTAAACTGTTGCCATTTCTATATTTTGTTGCACGGTTTGTCACTAAATTCTAAACATTATGCTACACCTGCTCTGTAACCGGCCCTTACCATATATCATTTCATATTTATTTTGAATGTTCACACTACAAAAGAAATAAAATTAGCACTTTTTTCTTATACAATCTAAATGCATTTAGTTTTTTAGAATAACAGAAATCTTTAAGTCCAAAAATTCTAAAATGTGCAGGAAACATGTTAAAGAAAACGAATGCATAAAGTGTGTGTATTTAATTATGGCAAAGCACACTAGGGCTATCTGCCTAAGGGGAGGGATGCCTTCGTGGAGGACTTTCTAAGGGAAACTGGCTTGTATACACGTTACACACAGGGAAAACCACGAAAACACCCATGCAGCCAGCCCGTTTGCGGGATTCGAACCTCGGACCGAACTGCCAGTGTTCAGCGACTTTACCGCTTGGCCGCTGGTGGGCTGAATACATAAAGAGAAAGAAAATTATTCTTCAACAATATGTGTTATGTAAATTAACTAGTTGTTTATAATTTCAGCTTCCCTTTTTCTTTTCTTCGCCAGAAATGCAAAGTCAGTTATATAGTTTCTAAACTGAGGTTTTTGGATTGTAAAAAACAGTGTTTCTTGGCTTTGGCTTGCACACTGCATTAGTTCCTGCCAGCTCTGATAATTTGAAATTATTCGCCTTTGTGTTATTGCTGCTGATATTTGAATTTGTTATGCAATAACTACGTTACGAGTTTGTTAATGACGTGTTACTCAGCCAGCTTAAATTAAAATTATATTGTGTGGTCTTTGACTACTTGTCCACATTTTTAGTGTGAATTTTACTGTTCCTTTTTAATTGGATCACCATTGGCTGTAATTGATTTTGCTAGCATAAGAACACGACTCTAAGGTCTTTTTAAATAAGAGGGTTAGAGTAGACTGAAGGGTACCCCTTGTATTATCGTAAAGTTGTTGTTTCATTTATCGTAAAGTTATTGTTTCATTTATCGCCAAGAGTGCACAACACCTAGTTTGTGCAATTCTGTAATTTTTTTAAGTATAAATAGGTATATATGCACATAGATACCAAGTTTGTGCAAATCTTTGACTTGTTACTTTGTCTTTGTGTAGCGGCATTTTTTGACCTTAAAATTGCCGCTACACAAAGCCAAAATAACAAGCCAAGGAATTTCACAAACTCGATATACATGAAATACTTTTAACCCGATGTTTATTTAAACCTTTTTCTGACTTTGTAGTTACTTTCAGACATAGCGATAATTTGTTTCACTTCTGTCAGAGGTTTTGGACTATTTAATTTTTATCAGATCAAATAAAACCTTATAGGTATATAGTTTAGCGATTGGCAAGTTGGGAGATAAAATTTGCAGAAACTAGTGGATAACTTGCAGAAACTAAAATATTAGTTTGCTTATTGAAACAAATTTCTAATTAAGATACAATAACACGCCGAAAATCTAATTCAGAAGTCAAAACAAAAATCATCGCGGTTATATTTACAAAATTCTCCAGGACTAGTTTCGATGGTTTTTACCGAACCACCATCCTCAGCTGCAAAACCGCAAATGAACAGATAGGAAATAATGATTAGATAAGATAAGAAACCTGGACAAGAATAAGCAAGTGGCACCATCTGTTGTGAAACCAGAACAAACATAATTTCTTTAAAGGCCGAAGGCAAAGTTGGATTGTAATTAGGATCGTTAACTGGAACGAAAGATTTTTATGAATGGAAATGCCTCTAGAAAATCCAGTTCTCCAATGGAAGATGGAACCATTGAGAACTCCATTTCCATTGGAGAACTGGCATGCGCACACATGTTCTCAGCCGTAAAGGTCTTATGTGCACGAGTCACCGATCCTGCGCAGAAAGTTTGTAGCTTGAAGTCCGGATTAGAGGTATTCTGGATTATGGTTGTCCAATTACGACTTTGACTGTATATCTTCCTTTAAGGTTTTTTTTTTGTGACTGTTATGGCATAAGCCTTTAGCAGAGAATTTGAATGTATTGACCACTATTTTATCTCAATACATCTTTTGAGCATGTCTAAATGTGCCAGTAAGTCAACTGAACTCTGGTAATCTGACCTCTGTTCATTTCTTGGTAAATAGGTTGGTTGCATAAGGTTTCCATTCTTTGTTCTGTGTCATAATGTTTCCAGTCTTTGTTCTGTGTGGCAGTTTCCCATAGGAAGTGTTGCACAAAGGTATCCTTTCCATGGGTACATATGTGCCTTGTGTGCTTTAGTTCAATTACTCGATCTTAAGTATCGAGCTGCATTGCAGCATCTAGAAATGTAAATTTGTCTTCTTAAAAGTATAGTGTTCAGAAAGACATTATGAAGTATGCATTTCTGCTAGAACAGATCACATACCATATTAAATAATTATATTGTCTTAAATAAAGATGGCAGAGATACTTTAAAAAAATTTTATTCAACCCTTTGAGCAGCCAGGGTTTTTAGATCTGTCATACCTATATCTAAAGAACTATGTTAGCTAAATTTCTATATTTTTAGTCTCTATTTTTCCTAAACTTACATTGAGTACCAATGTACTTATAAAAAATCTTGTTGTTAAATGATATTGAAATAAGTGCAAGATGTAAATAGACTAAAGTGTTAAAAATATTGAGCAAAATGCTTAATGCTCATGTTGAGACATTACTTAACTTGAATCAGAAATGCCTAGGTTATTTATTTATTTTTTTTAAGAATATGATACTAACCTAATAAATAGAATACAAAATTTTAAAAATGCATTTTAAAATTGAATTGTAGTTTATAAAATTATAAAAGAGCATCTAAATTGCTTAAGAGTACTTGTCTGCGTAAAGTTTGATTAAGAGAGCATAAATGCATTTTCTCAGCAGATTAGGGTATTTACATACTAACCTGTCAACAGTGAAAACTGTTGCTATGGAGTGCAATTTGCGACAGTTATTGATAAACGTGATGCAAGAACACATTCGTTATATCCGTGCTTTTGTTTGATATAAGCTAGGTTGATTCTCGATCTTTTTAGTTTTATGAGCAAAACTGTAAATTAACTGTTCTTTCTATATTTCTTCCTTGCATTTTGTAAAAAAACTATTAAAATGTTGGGCCTGTCTTCTAGAGAAGGGGAAACGGTGGTCTGTTTTCAAAGTTATAGGATCCTATAATTAAAAAAATAGTGTGCATTTATGGACACAATATTGGCAGTTGAATATGGCAAACAAAACAATAGGAGATTGGAAATATTACCAGCAAATTTTGTGCTCAACACGTTCTAAACAGAACTTCCAATAAAATCAGAGAACCTAATAAAATAGCAGAAATCGATGAAAGCATTTTTACAGAAAACGAACACGCAGAGGGTCGAATACTGATTAATCATTAAATAAAGAGACGTCAAGTCATTTTGGATTTAACATGAACGATTGATGCAATAACAGGATCGCCGTTCGCAAGGTGCTGTTGTAGCCAACTTTGACTCTTGACTGTTGGCGGAAATTGCGGCAATGGTCACCAATCGGCAATCATTACTGCAGAATTCTAAAGGAAGTAAGTCATCCATAATTGGCGCTAAATACATAAGTACCCAGATTAGTAATAAAATAAAAAGTATTTTAAATTAGCAGAATTCTTTATGGTACTAATTAAATCTCTGTACAGTGCTGCCACATTTACTTGTCTATAGTTTTTTCCCTTTCCTCTGGTTTTGTTTTTAGTGTTTGAAATTTTATGACTAGCATTATATTCATAATTAAAATTTTTCCTGTACATTTCTGGCAAACAATATGCAGTGTTTGTAAACTTTAGCAGACAGTATGCAGAGTGTGTAAAGTTGTTTTTTCGGAAAAGAATTCTGTGTGAAAACTTTAATACAGACTTTGAGAAATTTTTGTGAAGACTAAGTGTTTGAAACATGTAAATTTTGTTTTGGGGAAAAACTGCAGTATGAAATAGGTATTTTGAGAAATTTTTAAGTTGATTTAGTTTATTAAATTTAGAAACTGTTAGACCTTTGTGATCTTGTCAGAAAACTTTACAATTTAGATAGCATATTCTTTGTTCTGTTAAAATTTTCCCCCCTGCCAAAATTTAAATCTTATCTTTATGCTAAACTTCATATTTTTTCATGCCTTACATCTTACTGTCTTTATATTTTTAGATAAACTAAGTGAGCCGTATATTAGGAAAAGAGCACATGCTGCTGAATTTGACAGTCCATCTCAAATTTCTAATTTGAATTGTAAAACATCCGATACAAATGACAATGTGACAGATTCAAAATTACGATTTAAAATCCAGCCATTAGAGTCCTTTCAAACAGATTTCAGTGATGACCCATATCAAAAGCTTGTAAAGTTTTCAAGTTCTGCTAAGCTGTTAGTTGCTGGTGGTGCAGATGGACATGTAAGACTATGGAAAGTAAGAAAAAACTTATTTATCTTTAGAAATATGATAAATGAATCTTCTTTAAAAATGTCAGGTGTTGGTAACATAAGTTATTATTTTAATTTTTATTTGTTTTTAAATAACATTATAGCGAAGTTTTTTCGAAGAGACTAAGAATGTGGTTGAAAAAATGGTAAAAATATGAAAATTAGCTGCATTGTGTGTTTCATACAATTTTCTTTATAATTCAGACTCAGCTTTTTCTAAAGATTTTTCTAAAAGCCTTTAAAGTTGTTTAACTTAAGGAGTAATAGCAACATATCATAAATAATTAACCATAAGATAAAAACACAAATTTAGTTGTGTTTTATTAAAATAAAAATTCTGAATATGTGCTTCAACCAGAGAACAAATTGTTGCATTAATTAACCTTTCTCAACATAGCATTAAGCAATAGAAAAGTTTTTCATCAGAATGAATGAAGAAAAAATTGAGAAAGGTCCTTTCAATAGGAGTAAAACTAGGACATTTGTAAATATATAATAAGTTTGAAACATGTACGCAATGAGAGATGGTGTACCACCGGGGTGCCTGGGTCAAAGGACCCTAACCCCCAATCGAAAATACGCTAATTCGAACACAATGCAAGATAATAATATGCCCAAGATATCTAATGCTTTTTTTAATTAATATATTTATGTAGATTATTTATTTATTTATTTATTGCAAGTTATTCATGGGCTTAAAAAGTGAAGTTGGAATGATAATTACTAATTGATGAGAGCGTACATGATCACATGAAGAAAATGCCATCCAGGAAAGCTAAGCAGGAACAAAAACAGCAATACATAGTATAATCATACAAAGTTTGGTAAATACAAGACCCAGTGTGCAAAAAATTAAAGAACAGTATACAATTAATCAGTAAATTGCACAGTACAAGTTAGAAGTAATAATAATACACAGTACAAAAAATGACATTAAGGAGGTATAGTTGAACTTAATCAGTTGTGTCTCTAAGAATGGCCATAGCCGTTATGTTACACATTGCTAGTTGTACTAAAAATTTCTTCGAATATTGAAAACAAAACAAAACAGTTTATCAATAGAATGTTCTGCACTTTGCAGTTCAGGCATTTTTTCTGAAATCTTTTTTAGGATACTCCTAACAGAGAAGACTCTAAATATTTCACAGACCTCTTTAAACATCAGAAAATGCATTGAACGAAAAGTCAGCACTTTGACCACTCCTGGGCGAAATACCCCGACTTACGGGTTTATCCAATCTGCCTTTGCTTATATTTGCGTAGCTTACACCAGGGGATACACTAGCAGTATTTTTAACATTTTTTTCAGTTAGTCTGGACTGGGAATGAGTATTACTAGAGGGTTTAGCATCATTGTTATCAGTAACATTTTTCAGATTAGAATTATTATACAATTTAGGAAATTTGGGGCATCCACGGTAATTCATGTTATGTCCCGACTGACGGTAGTTACAACACATTATTTTCTAATTGTGTATTATTTTCTAATCGCTTCGCAGAACAATTTTGAATGTTATGCAACCCCGCGCACTTGACACAGCGGGGCTTGAATTTACATTGATCAGAAGAGGGGTGGAAGTGTTGGCAGTTGTGACATTGCACAACACTTCCACTTGACCTGTTCACAGAAACGTCAACATGAAAATACATCAGATAATTTACATTGTAAATTTTAGCTACACCTGGGAAATTTTTAATTCACAATTGGAACAGTGGCATGGATGCCTTTGAATGTATCCTGTGCATTTGTGCGACCTTACGTATCTTATACCCTAATTTTTCCAACTCCTCTTGAATTTCATCAACAGAGCAGTCTATCTGGAGCCCTCGTACTGATTTTATAGGCCTATCTAACTTAGTGGTAATAACATAATGATCGATTTCTTTTTCTTCCAACTATCTGGTAATTATTCTATGATCATCCTCCAAACAGGGGAACACTTTTAAGAATTCACCATTAATCTTAACTGAGAATTGAATCTTAGTAGCATCTTTTAGGGCCTTAGTAAAATCCGAAAACTTAACATTTGGCTTTACCATTACTGGCTTAATTTTGGGGGGGTTACTGCAATCACTTCAGATTCTCCCGGCATTTCAACATCATTAACATTTTTATCATTACTCAAGCTTTCAAATTTATTCAACAACTATGTTAGTATTGCACTTAACAATTTTGGCTGGCCTGGCCACATTACGCGGCTGAATAAAGCCATCAGAGTCCTGTAAAGCAGTTACAGTACATTTGCCTTTTTTAGAACCCATTTTCGGTTTGGATTTATCAGCACATACGTCAGTTTTTGTTTTACAAACATCAATTATAGAAATATCGTCATCAACATTTTTCTTGCCAATATAACACATTGAAGCATTACTAGGCAAAGTTTTAACGTTATCTGACACAGTTTCACTAACACTACTAGATAAGGATTTAACGTTATTTGATTCCTTTTTTTCAACAGTATTTACAGCATTTGCATTTACATACATAGAATTTTGCACACTGAAAGTCTCGCACTTACCTTTGAACAGCTTGATGAGTCCTTCAGCGTAGGCTATGCCACCCAGAAATTTGGTGACGATATTTTCCTTGTCCTGTTTCGAACGAGCCTGGTCCAATTCTTCATTCAACTGTCTATGTAGTGATTTCTGAGAACCTTGTAGCAGCTTAATTTGCTCTTAACATAACGAGGTAATTCTGCTTCATAACACAGTCCATGTCCAGTAAAGTTGACCAATTTTCCACCAGAATTTTATCACCAAAAGCACAAACTTTGTGCGACATAACTGAAGCCTTTTGAAGAACTATTTTAGCAATAGCAGCTCAGGAGCCTTCATTTCCCTCCATGGCACGTGAAAATCAGAGTCACTAAATCACGATAAGTTCAAACACTAAGCATACACTTTCGAACCAACTGGCAATCCACAAAAATAATCACATCACAGTCTACCGAATACGAATAACAAAAGCCCGTGGTGCGTAACCGGAGCTCAACATCAGAATCAATAGTAATAAGTTTGAAAATTTTTTATGAAATGTGTGAAAACAGATGAAATACTTCCACACTGTTTGTAAGCTGCAACTAATTCAATAGCACTAGCAAAATAGTGTGAGGGGAATGGTGACATTTTCAAATCAGTGAGGTATGTAAGTAGAATCAAAGAATAGGAAGGGGAAAAGAAGTAAATCTTCAACACCGCGATTTATCAGCACGTACATCAGTTTTTGTTTTACAAACATCAGTTATAGAAATATCGTCAACATTTTTCTTGCCAATATAAATACCGCGAAGAAAAATTCAGTCTAAAATGTGTAAGGCATCGACAAACTTTACAGGTGTAAAGATAGACCATTGAAATTCATGCCTGATTGCTATCCAAAACTGCCAGTAATATCTGAGAGCCTGTCAGATTGCTATATTGATTGGTTTAAAAAATGAATTCTTTACCTAAAACTTATAATTCTTTAATTTTAGTGATATGTTTAAGTTGCCAACTTTAATTTCGCTAAAACTTCATAACATAAGAAGATGATAAGAAAAGTCGTATGTAATAAGCAATTGAATTGGAACATTTTATTTTAAAATTATAAACTAGATTATTAAAGAAATCAGGAACATTTGAAAATATCTGGGTATGAAGTTTTCTTGTGCAATGCAGATTATCTGCCTTACTTTTAAGAACCAATGTCTGCCTAAAATTTCTAAAAACCAAATTTCATCAAATCCCTGAAATTTTAACATACTAATGATGCTAATCACAAAATAGACTATCCTAGAAACCTCATCTGAAAAGAACAAAACATCTAACAGAAGCAATTCCAAACTAACTCTTATCTTAAAACCTAAATCCTACTCCGAAACAAAACACTAACCCCAGAAAAAATGTTTTCGAATTCTTTTGCATAATGAAGGAACTCAAAAACATCTTCAGTAGCACTAAATTATCTTAATTAATATTTCTTATTAACAACTTAGTGTTATTCTACCTATGACTTAGTTCACTTACATTTCCGACCCTCTGTCAGCTGAGAGGTAAGATTCGGTTCCTTCATCTAAAACCAGTCAAGGACGCGGTCAGTATATAGGAGGTTGACTACTGCAAAATATGCTTACGCACTCCGCTGCCCACGGTTAAGAAAGCAGATTTCAGGCACTGCAGGCCTTAGCCCATTAGGGCTGTTATGCCACTGAGTTTTCTTTTTTTTGGGGGGGGAGGGGGTTACTGATACAAAAGTATGACATACCAGGCTCTTCCAAAGTATATGCTATTCATTTCATCATGATTATGATGCATTATTGTAGTTGGTGGTCATTCCTTTGAATAATTCTTGTAAATATCGAACCGTATTTCTCATAAATATCAGTGATTAAGGTAAGTTTTCTTTCTTATTGTTCTTCATACTTTCTGCATTCACACTCGACTACAAATTGTATTATGCAAAGTATTACTTTGGTCATAACCCCTTTATGAGCTGTTACATCCTGCTAATGAGAGTGCATGTATATGCATGCATGTGTGCAACTAGCCAGCATAAGGAATTTTTCTGTACATGCTTTACCAATAATTCTCCAAAACTACAGAGAGAGCAGAATAGATTGTATGCAAATAGTTTTGAAATTAAGTCATGAGAGTAAGATAACTGAATTGAGGTATATATTTCTTTTGTAAAATTTGGCATAAGTTTTTTCACTGTAAGGAAGAACAACTAATTATTGAAGTGTGTCGCAATTTAGTTTTTCAAATTTGTTTTATAATTTTCTAAACATTAATATTACTTTATTTAAACTTCTTTTTTGACAGTACCCAGAATTAAAGAAAATTCACGACATAGCTGCTCATCTTGATGACGTTGATGATCTAGATATATGTCCTATTGGCAAAAAGGTATTGTATGTAAATTACATATGACATACATAATTACATATTTGTTGTTTTTGAAGTTCTGGAGTTACTTGACAGTGATACGCAGTAGTATAAAACGGGGTTCCCTACCAAATGAATGCACCTGCTGTAAGTTGATAAAACATAAGATTTAATGGGTGCCTTCCTTGAGTTTAACAAAATAGATGAAGATATCATGTTGGACTATGGCACATTAGTAAAACAATATAATGAATAACAGATGAGTGTACTTGACTGCTACAATGTGAATTGAGTCTACTGAACAGTTCATTTAGTCAAGCAGGTACTTGGCGACTTAGTAAATTATCTGGATTACTCTGCTATTACAATCTAGTCTTGCATAGCTATATTCCATTTCAGGTTTCCATGCCTTGAAATCACCACACCACACTGGAATGATTAACGGCTGTTGGCCCCACATTGATAAGGCATATCGGGAGAACATGCAGCTTTCACCATAACTGGGAGGACACACAGTCTTTATCTATCAGAAGGTTTCTGTTTCTTCTGGCTTTATTTGGAAATCAATCCATTTGCATCAGGCAATTTGCCAAAAACAAAATGTGAAATTCAAGATTGAATCAACAAAATATTAAAAACACTTCAAAATTAGAGCACTAAAATTAGTCTTTACAATACCAAAAAATTACGACATGAAAATTTTACAATGAAAATATTAAAAATCTTCAGTGATTAGAATCAAAGCCACCGTGTGCTCATGACATAAGGTCTCTAGCCATCCAACGCAGCAGAACATCACCAGCATGTTGGATTTTAGGGTCAAGGTCCGGTCAGACAAGCAAGTGCTTCTTATACATAGTGTCTTGTTTACTGCTGAGTGCAGCCGCAAGGGAGAAGTGTAAATTTCCAACACTGTCCCTCCCTGAGCTGAAAAGAGAATAAAAGAAAAAATCATTCGTTAATTGAAGTCCTAATAGTTTCATACATTTTCTCTGCTTGTCTTTGCTAAGATTCTTCATTAAAATATCAGCTGGCATTTCTGCTGTAAAGACATACTTAATTTCAATTTTTTATTGTCATATAACAGGGTTCTTAGTGGTTCTTATAAGTGCTTAAAAGTCCTTATATTTGAAAATAAAATATAAAGGCCCTTATAGGTGCTTATTTTTTCATTAAAGCCCTTATTTTTTTGTTTTTAGTGTTTTATTTTTTGCTTTTAGTACTTTTTTTAATGAACGTGCTATGTTTCCCCGTACGAAAGCCGAAACTAAATAAACAACTTTTCTTCCTTATATGGAAATGTCAGATGGTGAATAATACTCCCGGAAATTAGCTTTTCGCCCCTTTCTCTGCATTAACATAACCTTATGGTGCGCACAAAGATTGTACAGACAGGTGCACGTTGTTCTATTGGTCAAAGAATGTGCAAAAAGCAGTAGAAAATTCCAGTACATTCGGCATTCTTTTCCTCCTACCCAAATACTACACACGTTTGAATTTCTATCAAGATTCTTAATAATTTGCATTCCTTCGATCTGTGTGATCAGTTTCATCTTCATGTTTATTACGATCATTATGCTTATATTATGAGTATATGTATGAATATTTATAATAACCATATTTGCAGTAACTGCTGAAGTAACTTCCAAAAATGAGTAAGTGTGTTTTAACACAGATTAAGCTTTCTAAGGAATAATATTCGGAATGTCTTAAATAAAGTGAATGTAATTGAACAGTCAAAAAATAATTTCCCCCCCCCCTCCCGGCCAATGCATTATACAGTATGGAAGTTAGGGGGGTTCCTCGCTCTTTCTCCGCAAAATCTCAATACATCGAAACCTGTTGCAGTTTAGCAGCAAAGCGAGTGATGGAAACTTTTTATTTTTGTCACTTTCCAATCTGGATTGAATAGGACTGAAAAGTTCTGCGGTCTACCAACCCAAGTGAAGAATAATTCTATTCCGGAAATTTAACGCCGTCTGTTGAAAATTAAAATGAAAACAACCCCAGTTATTTAGTTCTTTATTCTCCCAATATCGGCAGCTGTCGATTCCGATTGCGTGATATCACGTAGGGAAGAATTACGGCACACGTATTGCGCAATAACGTCTGCGATATTTTGGTGAGATAATTAATTTTGATGCTCTGTCCAAGATTTGTGTATGAACGCTTAAAAGAGTTTTACTGTGCTTGCTAAGCAGAATATTTTTCAGTTCCATTGGTTTATTTTTATATGATACACATATCGAAATGTCAAAAGCATTTATTTAGCGGAAAAATCTAAAGAGCGGCTGCTACAGTCTATCCCACCTCCGCTCCTCTTTTTCGAGTTACGCTCGACTGTCCGAATATTCGCCAATTCCAAGTTTGCAGGTTAGTTAAGCTTTTACTGTTAAAGGATGACTGCATGAAGCAAATTTCTGTCTTCTGATTTCAGAAATGCTCCTCTTTTTTACTTAAAGTACTTTGCTTGCAATATCTGTTAAGGGAAAACTGATATACGATGAAAATTTAGAAAATGTTCAGAATTTAGATTAAATTATTTAGATATCAACTATAAGTGGAAAAATAAATTGTATTTATTATTAGGTTCCAAGCGAATACAATAAATATGCCTTATTATTATTTATTTTCTCTATTTTGAACTGAAATTTCATCATTAGATCTTGTAATATAGTTTAGTTCTGTATAGTTTTTTTTTCTCGAATTGTAAACTAGTTCTGTAAATTGAACTGTTTTATTTAAAATTAAAAAAAAAAAAAAAGTAATTATTTTCCATGGTTGAGGTAATGCTTATTCTCTCTTAATAAATACTGCATTTCTCATATTTTAAATTACAAGTCTAATTTTTAAGGTTATGCAGTTGTGTATAATGTAATTAGACATGTGCTTATTTTTTTTTCTTAAAATGTGCTTGAAAAGTGCTTATAAGTGCTTATTTTTTAACTAAAATGTGGCTATGAACCCTGTATAACCATCTTATGTAATGAAAACAAATATCAATGTGTTTTGTTCTAGAGTGCTGGACTGGATTTTTCATTACATGTTGTGCACTTTGTCATTATATAACACATTTGGTTTTGTTATCTTCTTAAAAAAATCTACCTCTTGTAATAGTATCCCAAGTTCATCACTTCTTTTGAAGCTTCAGTTAACTTTATGTATTCTGCTTCAGTGCTTGATAGTGCTGAAATTCTTTCCGTGATTCACAGGAAATCAGGTTTCCTGCTAATATGAAACTGTAGCCAATAAATGATTTCCTGTTGAGAGTATGTTTGGCCCAATCCATGTCTATATATCATTTGAGATTTTTATTTGTCTTGTAATAACTTATCTTCACGTTTAACATAGATTTAAGGTATTTTAATACTCGTTTTCCTCGAATTCAGTGAAAGTATTTGAGGGGTTACTGTTAAATTGACTAAGTCAACCAACAGAATTTTCAGTGTCGTGTCATGTAGGTACGGCTAAGTGAAATTAACGGTCAGATTAAGGATTGATACTTATTTTTGTCTACACTCATTTTCTTTGGCAACTTTTGATGATTTGCGTAGTTTAACATTAAAGTCTAAAGGTGTTGGTATAGGGTTACATTCTTGCAAGTCAACCTTTTTTCGATGTACTGAGTTTGGCTAATGGATACATTTTTATTTTGTTCTCAGTTAATGTCTAAACACTGTTTTATTTTACCCAAATCCCTCATTTCAAAAGTTTTGTTGAGAATTTTCTTAATGTGTGTCATGTAAAATTCACTTTTATTTGTATTATTAAATAATCTACTATGTCACGATTATGATATAGTCATCAGTTTCTGAATATAAATATAGTTATCGGACGTTAACTTTTCGAATTTGAGTTTTCGCAAATCTTCATCTAATTTCAGATTCCACATTTGTCCTGCTTGCTTATGTTCACAGATTGACTTTTCCAGAATGCAAACTTTGCCTTCAGAAGTTTTGAAACCTTTTGGTTGAGACATGAAGATCTCTTCACCAATTTTTCTGTTCCCGATACGCAGTTTGAACATCCATTTGATGTATCTTCTGGTTATATTTGGTAGCTAAAGCAAGCAATGTTTGTACAGTCAAAAGTCTTTAATCCGGACTCGTCGGGACTTCGGTGATTCCGGATTATAGATCATCATTTTACATCTGGTAAGATGGCATGCAGAAATTATAAAATTAAAAATATGAAACCGTAATTTATGAAATAATGAGCAATTATGATCTAAAGGGTATCAAAATTTACAAAAAAAGAAGCTTAATATTTATTTGTTTACTTTATAAAACATTTCTTTCAACGCGTGCATGTGTACCTTACGCATAGCCGAAATTAGAAAATTGCAACCAGAAAACTATTTGATTTGTATTCGTGATATTTATAATGACAAGGAATTTGATTTAAATAATATCAAAGATGGAGTAAATAGAGATTAAATACTACATTTAGTAAGGAATTATAAGCCGAATAAATAAAAAACCATCAGCCCTGAAGATAACGACAGTGCTGACAGATCAACTTCCAGTTCATTGCACGCCGCGACGTCCCCCCCGCACAGAGCAGCGTGAAATTGATAAACCAGATTTCGGAATGGTTAGAAAACAAAGAATATGCTTTTATCCATTTTTTGTAGCAATTCCTTTTTTAGTTTTTTTGTTTGATGGACATCGAAACATACTTTCGTTTTCTAGATCCTTTGGGAGCTCCAGCATCGGAAATTCTATTTGACATAATCGAAAGTTCAAGCTTACTTTTATAAAATTGCTCTTTCAGTCTGCAAAAAATAATAAGCCGAATCCAATTCGAAGATTAAGGAACAATGCAATCATCAACATTAACTGAAATAGATAATTAGATAATTTTAGCTTATACCGTCCGTTATACATTAAGCGCGCACGCGTGAAACGCCTATGAGCATGCATCAACGCGGCGCATGCGCAGAAAGATTTTAGCTTTGATGTCCGGATTATAGATCATTCCGGATTATGGGTGTCCGAATTAACGACTTTTGACTGTATAGT